GGGGATGGAATCCCACCCCAAATCCTCACGGGGATGGAATCCCACCCCAAATCCTCATGGGGATGGAATCCCACCCCAAATCCTCATGGGATGGAATCCCACCCCAAATCCTCATGGGATGGAATCCCACCCCAAATCCTCGTGGGGATGGAATCCCACCCCAAATCCTCGCCGAATGCTGCTGCTCCTGTCCCCTGGAGCTGTCAGGCTGCGAGTGCCCAGCGCTGGGGGATTTGGGGACACCAGGGTGTGTGGCTGAGGTGTCTGACCACGGCTGGCCACCAGCACGACCAGCAAACCCCAGTGGCATTCCCAGGATTTTGGGGGCAGGGAGCAGCAGCAATGAGCCCCACACAGCAAAAAAACAATCCCAGGGGTGTGGAATCGCTTCTCCAGCTCCTGGAGGAACGCGGGCAACTCCACGAGGTGTGGTTGGAAACCCACCACAACCAACATCCCCAACCCCAACTCCCAGATCCTCTCGGGCGAACGCACGGGCGCAGCTTGGAAAGCTCGAAACCCTCCGAGAAGGAAGGAAAAAAACCAAAAAAACCTGGAAATCCAGGGAAAAGCTGGAAAACGCAGAGAAGGGGGGGAGGGAGGAGTTGCCAGGGCGGCGGAGCGGGACAGATGGTTCAATGCTCCCCTTGGCAGGGTGAGAAAATTACTGTCCAGGCAGCAAATGGCCGGGCCCGTTCCCACCCGGCTGCTGCCCCTTCTCCCCAGAAGAAGACAAAGGCGGCCGGGGGGGCTGGGCAGGGAGAATCCCATTGTTCCCGCCCGCCCTAATTATGGAAATCTCGTTAATCAATTCAGCGGCGAGTCGGAGCCGGCCTTTTGTGGGGCTTTGCTGAGGGGGTCCAAGGGCTCCGCGTGGAGCCCCAGCGGGGAAAGCCGCGGGGCCTCGCGTGTGGGTTACACACCCGTTACACGCTTGTACCTGGGTGTAAAACGTTCTCCTGCTCATCCAAGCCTTGTGTGCGGGTTACACACCCGTTACACATCTGTACCTGGGTGTAAAACGTTCTCCTGCTCATCCCTGAGCTTTGCGTGCGGGTTACACACCCGTTACACATCTGTACCTGGGTGTAAAACGTTCTCCTGCTCATCCAAGCCTTGTGTGTGGGTTACACACCCGTTACACATTTGTACCTGAGTGTAAAAGGTTCTCCTGCTCGTCCCCGGGCCTTGTGTGCGGGTTACACACTCGTTAAGGGTTTGCACCCAGGTGTAAAAGGTTCTCCTGCTCATTCCTGGTCCTTGCGTGTGGGTTACACACTCGTTAAGGGTTTGCACGCTGGTTTAAAAGGTTCTCCTGCTCATTCCTGGGCCTTGCGTGTGGGTTACACACTCGTTAAGGGTTTGCACGCTGGTTTAAAAGGTTCTCCTGCTCGTCCCTGGGCCTTACGTGTGGGTTACACACTCGTTAAGGGTTTGCACGCTGGTGTAAAAGGTTCTCCTGCTTGTCCCCGGGCCTTGTGTGCGGGTTACACACTCACTACGTGTTTGTACACCGGTGTAAAAGGCTCTCGCACTTCATGGTCACCCATGGCTCTCCATGGTCATCCAGGGTCCATGGTCATCCACAGCTCTGTGGTCATCCAGGGTCCGTGGTCACCCCCAGCTCCATGGTCATCCACAGCTTTGGGCCATCTGGAGCTCTGTGGTCATCCAGAACTTCCTGCAACCTTGGTCCATGGGTCCAGGATCAATGGTCATCCACAGCTCCATGGCTGGTCACCCACAGCTCCGTGGTCATCCAGGGTCCATGGTCATCCACAGCTCCGTGGTCACCCACAGCTCCGTGGTCATCCAGGGTCCATGGTCATCCACAGCTCCGTGGTCATCCATGCTTCTCCATGGTCATCCAGGGTCCATGGTCACCCACAGCTCTCCATGGTCATCCAGGGTCCATGGTCATCCACAGCTCTGTGATCATCCAGGGTCCATGGTCACCCACAGCTCCGTGGTCACCCACAGCTCTCCATGGTCACCCAGGGTCTGTGGTCATCCAGGGTCCGTGGTCACCCCCAGCTCCATGGTCACCCACAGTTCTCCATGGTCATCCAGGGTCCATGGTCACCCACAGCTCTGTGGTCATCCAGGGTCCGTGGTCACCCCCAGCTCCATGGTCACCCACAGTTCTCCATGGTCACCCAGGGTCTGTGGTCATCCAGGGTCCGTGGTCACCCCCAGCTCCATGGTCACCCACATCTCCATGGTTGGTCACCCCCATCCCTGTGGTCACCTCACCACTGTCACGCCAGCTTAGCTGCTGCTGGCTCCTCCTCTGCTGATCTTGGAGGATTTTTCCAAAACGGAATCATGGAATCTTGGAATTCCGGGAATTTCTGGGCTGGAAGAGACCTCCGAGGTCATCGGGTCCAGCCCAGCCCAACACCTCAAGCAAGGCCTGGCACCCAGTGCCACGCCCAGGCTTTTGGAACACCCCAGGGACGGTGACGCCACCACCCCCGGGCAGAACATTCCAGAACTTCATCACTCCCATAAAGAACTTTCTCCTGACATCCGACCGAGACTTCCCGCGGCACAGCTCAGAGCTGCGTCCTGGTGTTCACGAAACCCACCCGTGACACCGGGAGTGACACAACCCA